GGGTGTGTGAGGGAGAGATCAGATACAAAGGTGCAAAAATTAAACAGGCTCTGATAGTGTAGTGTCTAAGGCACTTGACTGTTAACCGGAAGGCTGGTTGTTCAAACCCACTATATATTCCTCTGATGGGAGGTTGGGCAATCTAATTCCGTAGTGTTACAGCTTCAGAAATCCAAGGAGGGGTAACTATGAGTCGGGTCCAACTAGATGGCACATAACAACAACAACTTTAGTTTATTCAGCTGCAACACTGGAGGATGGAAAATAATGGAATAAAGCCTTCAAATTGAGAAGGAGTTTCATTCCAGCTAAACTTATAAATGTGTTGTTGTTGTTATTATGTGCCATCGAGTCGGACCCGACTCATAGCGACCCCTCCTTGGGTTGCCCAGGCAGTATCACTATGGAAGTAGATTGCCCAGCCTTCCTTCTGAAGAGTGGCTAGGGGGTGTGAACAGCCAGCCTTCTGGTTAGCAGTCAAGTGCCTTAGGCACTATGCTACCAGAGCTCCCTTATAAATATGAGGATAGATACTTTATACCTCAAAGCGTATACTGTACATACTCTTTCTTAGAAAGTTACTGGTAGATGTGTTCTCCCAATATAAGTGAATATACCAATGAGAAGGGAGTCTTGGAATCCATTGAGTCCTACCCTAGAAGAGAGGTGAAAGCAATTTCCAGGATGAAAAACCCAAACCAAACCCATTGGTGTTGAGTGATTCTGATTCATAGCAACTCTATAGGACAGGGTAAAACTGTATCATAGGGTTTCTGAGATTATAAATCTTTACAGAAGCATATTGCCAAATCTTTCTCCTAGAGAGTGATTGGTGGGTTCAAACTGCTGACTTTTCAGTTAGCAGCCAAGTGCTTAACCTCTCTGTCACCAGGGAAATTCTCAGATCCTACTCACCAGGGAAATTCTCAGATCCTACTCATGGTATCAGTCGTCCCAGGTTAGAAAAGGAAAGAAGAACAGGCCTGAGGAGGGAGATCTCCAGTGAAATACGAAAGTAATAGCTTACATGCTCATTAAATCAGGTAAAAAATATCAGTGAAAAGGGTTTTATAGTTATATTAAAGAGTTTCAGAAGAATCAGTGATAGATAAAAAGAAAACTAAGCAAATTTCAAAAAGAGGCAGTTAGTAATTTTAGAAGAGATAAGTTCCACGTTTCATGCTTCAGTCAAGATACGCTAAGGACTTGCTCATGTATGAGACCGGAAGTAGATGGTACCTGGTTACCATTACTGAACAATCTGATCAAAGATTCTATAGAAGAATGGTGATCAAGGGGGGCAGGGGAATTCAGAACAGAATTTCATATTTCTATGGAATCCAGATTTTCTGGAGCCATGAAGACTATATGAACCCCTAAAACTTGCCATGAGATAATCTTTAAACCTCAATCCAAAAATACCTGTGTGAAGTCTTCCTAAAACCATGCAGTGGTTTGCCTAACTAGCAATTAATGTAATTATATTATTTTATCATACTAATTGACAGAGTCAGTTACTATAATGAAATGTAAAAAGGCTTGGAGTTTGAAAACCCAAAGGGAAGAACATGCTCGGCATTTCTCAAGCTGAAAGAACTGAGGAAAAAATTTAAGCCTTGAATTGCTATATTGTAGGATTCTATAGGGAAAATCTTGAATGATGCAAGAAACATCAAAAGGAGATGAAAGGAATACACAAAGTCAGAGTACCAAAAAGAATTGGTTGATGTTCATTCACTTCAGGAGGTGGCATATGATCAAGAACCAATGATATTGAAGGAAGACGTTGAAGCTGCACTGTAGGAATTGATGTAAAACAAGTCTCCAGGAATACCATTGAGATGTTTCAAGAAACGGATGCCATGCTTGAGGCACTCACTTTTGGTTATGCCAAAAGATTTGGAAGACAGCTTCTTGGCCAAATGCTGCAAGAGATCCATATTTGTACCTATTCCATAGAAAGGTGATCCCACAAAACGTGGAAATTATCAAACAATATCATTGATGTCACACACAAGTAAAATTTTAACTGAAGATAATTTAAAAATGGTTGTAGCAGTATATTGACAGAGAACTTCCAGAAATGCAGGCTGGATTCAGGAGGGGACATGGAGCAAGGGATATCATAGCTAATGTTAGATGGATCTTAGCTGAAAGCAAAGAATACCAGAAATATGTTTACTTGTGTTTTATTGACTATGCAAAAGCATTCAATTTTGTGAATCATAACAAATTATGGGTAACGTTAAGAAGAATGGGAATTCCAGAACACTTGACTATATTCATGAGAAACCTGTACATAGATCAGGAGACTGTCATTTGAACAGAACAAGGAGATACTGCATGGTTTAAAATCAAGAGGGGAGTGTGTCAGGGTTGTATCTTTTATCATACTTAATCCATATGCTAAGCAAATAATCCAAGGAGTTGGACAATGTGGAGAATAACGTGGCATCAGGATTGGAGGAAGTGTCATTAACAACCTGAGATATGCAGATGACAAAACTTCGCTTGCTCAAAATGAGGATGACTTGGAGAACTTACTAATAAAGATTAAACATTAGTCTGCAGTATGGATTACACCTCAAGGTAGCATAGTGCCTAAGACATTGGGCTGCTAACTGGAAAGCTGGTAGTTCAATCCCACCAGCCACTCCTCAGAAGGAAGGTTGGGCAATCTGCTTCTGTAGTGATCTTGCCTCAGAAACCCAAGGAGAGATTGCTATGAGTCAGATCTGACTCCTTGGCAGTGTGTTTGGTTTTTTTTGGTTATGAAGAAAACAGAAATCCTCATAGTGAGACCAATAAGCAGCATCATGATAGATGGAGAAAAGATTGAAGTTGTCAAGGACTTCTTATTACTTGGTTGTACAATCAGTGCCAATGGAAGCAGCAGTCAAGACATCAGACAACATACTGCATTGGGCAAATCTGTTGCAAAAGACCTCTTTCAAGTGCCGAAGAGCAAACATACCTTCTTGAAGTCTTAAGATGCACCTAACCCAAGCCGTGGTATTTTCAAGCACCTCATATGCATGTAAGAGCTGGATAGTGAATAAGGAAGACCAAAGAAGAGTTGATGCTTTTAAATTATGTTGGCAAAGATTGGTGAAAGTACATTGGACTGCTGAAAGAAGTAACAAATCCATCCTGGAAGAACTGCAGCCAGAATGCTCCTTGCAAGCAAGAATGGCCAGACTTCATCTCACCTACTTTGGTCATGTTGTCAGAAGGGACCATTCACTGGAGAAGGATGTCATGCTTGGTAAAGTGGAGGGTCATCGAAGGAGGGGCAGGCCCTCAACAAGATGGATTGCCACAGTGGCTGCAGAGATGGGCTCAGGTATAGTGGGGATCGTGAGGCTGGCGCAGGACTGGGCAGTGTTTGGTTCTACTGTACGTAAGGTCACTATGAGTCAGAAATGACTTGACGGCACCTAACAACAGTGTCTGCCTTGAGCATTGTGCTCTTTTAAGAGCTATCTATATTGGTCCTATGGGCAGTAGAAACTTGAAAGATCAGATAGAAGCCTTAGAGGTCTGTGATTTTATGTTAATGGGGGAGGAACAATTAGGAAAAGGAAAGTGAGACTGATTGCACAATTTGAAGACTCTAATTGCTGTTACTTGTACATGAAATTGTTGAATTCGTGTATGTTCTACTGTATATATTTTCAAAACAACAACTGCAGCAGCAAAGATAGGCTGTGGAAACAACATGCCTTCCTCCTCCCATCCCAAATAGCTGCTCACCATAGTTACTTTGAACCCAGTAGATGGAAGCTCCATCTCACAGTCAGCACACAAGTCATGGCAAGGGCAAGACTATAGTAAATCGTGCACTGTTCCCTGAAACTCCATTTGAAAGTAACATGGATATTTCTCATATTTTACTGTTCAAAGCAAGTCATACCTTTCTTCAAAAGAGGGCAGGGAAATAAGGGTTTATCATGTCCCTGTAAGGAAAACTGGACTCTTTGTGAGCCACTCTAGTCTCTATCACATTCTGCTCTACAATTAGGACTCATAATTTAAACAGAATACTGACAAGTTTTGCTTTAACTATAGTATGAAGATGGGAGGGCATAGATAGTGGGAGTAACCACATTATCATATGGCCACAACGGACAGTGTCTGAAAGTGATAAACGAATGTTGTTGTTGTTGTT